TGTGGTGGAGCTGGAGGGGAGTGTGGAGCGGACAAGGGAGTCACGGATAATACACCATTGATTGCCAACTGTTGATTTGCACCACTAATAATTACTGATGATGTGCATGATATTAACCTGATTATTTAAAATTAAAACAAAAAAGTTCTATTTTGTTTAGGCTGTGCATTCAGGCACCTAGCATTATATATGCACAGTCAGCAAACATAACTAGGAGTAGGAATTCAGCCCCTTAAGCTGCTTTGCCATTCAATACAATGATGCTGATCTCATCTCTGCCTCAACTCCACTCTCATACCCACTACCCATAATCCTTCAACCCAATATTAATGAAAAATCTGTTAATGTCCTCCTTAAACTTACTTCGTGTCCTCACATCCACTTCCCTTTAGAGTAGAGAATTCCATAGATTCACTTCCTTTGAGAGAAGTAATTTCTCTGCATCTCTGTTTTAAATCTGCTACCCCTTATCCTAAAACTGAGCTCTCATTCTAGATTCCCACAGAAGAGGAAATGTCCTTTCTCTGTCTCATCTGTCAATCCACTTTAGCATTTTTTTATATTTCAATTAGATCTCCCATTCCTTTAGTTTCTGGAGGGAACAGGCCTAAAGTGCACAATCTCTCTTCAGACAAATTTCCTCCCCTCTGGAATCAATCCCGTGAATCTCCTTTGAGCAGTGTCAATGCAACCACAAGGGGACCAAAAACTCTCTAATAGTGATTCCACTACTGCTTGTTCACTTGCAGCAACATTTTCCTAGTTTTATATTTTCTTCTTTTTAGCAGCAAATGCCAAGCATCAATGATGTATTGGTGTCAGCAAACGGATCTTTTGTACAAGTTTCTTAGCATTTAATATGGACTAACCATGTATGTATCCTGAACTTTGTGTAATTTTGTATTATGCAATTTACCTAGTGTACATAATGTGAGCAGGCCATTCCTCTATCGCAATTTCAGCATCAAAAGGTTGAGGTGTCCGATTTTGAAATTGTGCTGGCAGGTAATAAGCAGTGGTTACTTCAGGCTGGAGCTCTGTTCTGGTCCGGTTGGTGTGCACAATGGTAACGATAGGCAGTGTAATTCCCAGGAAGTGACCTGCAGAAAAAAGGCAGACCAGTAGATTATTGGGCCAAATACAATGTGTAACTTTGGCAGAAAACTATAAACTGTACTCTTGTGCTATCCAGCATTCAAAAAAAGTAATGAAAAACTATTATTTTTAGATTTGTTTTACTTAAGAAATTTGACAAAATTAACATGGCTTTTAGCAGCTACTTAAAAAGACAGATAAAAGTAATTGCTGATATCTTCCACAAACTCATTACAGTACCATTTGTGAAACATGCATTATTCAACTGTGCATGTTTCAAGTCTTTTCTCAGTTATGCAAGGAACTGATCATAAAGAAGTGGAATACTTTAAGTCTTCCACAGTTCTGTTTATAGTGTCTTAGCTAAACAATGCATTGAAGACTAATATAATTGATATAGTTTAAAATGTATTAATCCAAGTAATCTACAACATTATATCTAACAGTATTAGAGGTTACACAGATGAAGGCCTGTTCGTCAAATATAACCACAACAAATAACAGTGGGAGAGCATTTTCTTCCATTGAAGATTGTAAGTTTACTTTACTTTTCTTCTGGGGCACAAATTGTCATTTTTGAAAGTCACCTGCTGAGTTTTGTTGGCAGATGTATTTCATTAATTTCATAAATCCCAGGCATGTGCTCTGTTCATAGCTTGCTTTATTCTGTATTACACAAGCCCATTTTGCTTTCTCGTATTGACGCTTTTCATAAAGCAGTTCTTCAGCCTGTAAATGAGAAAATGGAACATAAATATAAATAGTTTACTGCCAATCATGATAACTTTGGTCTGAGCAAATAGGGATGTGAAAATGATTTGCATCTTATGTTGTGGTCTACCAAAACCGTAAGCTTTCAAAACAACTTGCACGTGTTGTTTTAGCATGACATTACCAATTTAATGTACTGAAACTGTCACTGTGTTGGCCTGCCATCGCTAAATACAGATTCTCTCTGGATTCCCCTTTTTGAGTAACTTTAATTCTTTGTACAGTAAACTTTGTCTTAAAAGACACTGTACCAACCAGACTTCTCTACTAATTGGAATTTCTGATATTCTCATGCAATTGTCACTTTAACAAACCCATGTATCACCCAGAAGTTTAAGGGTGGCACGGTGGCTCAGTGGTTAGCACTGCTGCCTCAGCGCCAGGGACCCAAGTTTGACTCCAGCCTTGGGTGACTGCATGTGGAGTTTGCATGTTCTCCCCGTGTCTGCGTGGGTTTGCTCCGGTTTCCTCCCATAGTCCAAAGATATGCAGGGTAGGTGGATTGGCTATGCTAAATTGCCCATAGTACCCAGGGATGTTTAGGTTAGGTTAGGTGGGTTTGACATGGGAAATACAGGGGTAGGGGAATGGGTCTGGGTGGGATCATCTTTGGAGGGACGGTGTGGACTTGTTGAGCCGAAAGGCCTGTTTCCATACTGTAGGGATTCTATGAAGTTATTCGTAATGCATAGATTTCCCACGTTATTTGCAAAAAGTGAAAATGAATTCCATGCTGACTTACAGAAAAACATCACATATACTTTTGGTTCACCAATCTTAGAAACATTTTTATATTTCAAAGTTGAATATCATTAGTTAGCTCAATATTTTGCAGGAAATGCATTTGAATTATTTAAACAATAAAATAGAAATAGTGATTTTTTTGAAAAAAATATAATTCCTATTTAGACAAGTTTATAGCATCTGTAGAGGGTGTAATTTTTTTTCAGACTAACAACCATAGAATTCAAAGGAGTATTCCAAGTCATTACCTGTTTCTTCTAACCATTTAACAGGCGTTTAATCTATCTCTCTTAGCATGGTAGTGACACATATCAGAATGAAGATGTAAAAATCAGCATAGTCTCTAGCTTCAAACAAAAATGCTAGCCCCTTTATAAAAGGATGTTGATAATCATTTATTACCTTTTTTTTGTGACCTAGAGTCGTAAATGGAACCAATTCCCTGTCGTGAGATTGGTTGTTTCTTGACATCTGTTGAATTGGTTCGGCCAAGTCTGAGATGAAAGCAAATAATAATTTAAACATGTCTACTTCGGCTGTAAAATTTTGAATCTAATTGTGGCCTCAACTCCTCTTTCCTGCATGCCTCCACTCCTTTTTTAGATTAAAAATCCACCCAGCTCAGTTTTTAATATTTTCATGGCCTAGCCGTCGCTGTTCTCTAGGGTTAAGAATTCCAAAAATTAATGACAATCATGTAGAATTCCTCTTCACTCGTTTGAGTGGAAGATCAATTATTTTGAAACTGCACCTTATATTTCTAGATTTCTCATGACAGGAAACACCTGTTTTGCCAAAACACACTCTCAATTTTGCATGTTTCAATAAGATCACCTCTTGCAAACTTACATAAGCAAAGGCCAACCTATCCTCATGAGGAAGGGATAATATCCTTATAAGAAAACTGTTTTATTACAGGAATCGATCTGGTGAACCTTATCTGAACTTCTTCTCGTATAATAAATCCCTTGATAAATAGAGACCAAAACTGTACATAGTCTAGTAGTGGTCTTACCTATACAGTTGTAGCAAGACTTCCTGATTTCTTTACATTCCAAATGCTCAACCCCCACCACCTTTGCAATGAATGCCAACATCCGATTTAATTTAATAATTCTAATTACATGCCCCACTTCTGAATGCTAACTTTTGGTAATTCATGTACACCCTATAGTCTTTCTCTTTTTAAAATAATATTTACTTTTCTCCTCTTCCTACCTATCAGTCTTTCAACCCTGCTCTATTGTTCACAAGCCTTATGGCTTTTCTTCTGCCTAACTTCACTTTCTGCCTTATTATCACATACCTTGATTCCACTGTTGCTTGACAATCTGTCAGTTTCACTACTGATAAATTGAGAAAGAATATAAAGGAGACAACAAGGTGCAGGGCTGGATGAACACAGCAGGCCAAGCAGCATCATAGGAGCAGAGAGGCTGACGTTTCGGGCCTAGACCCTTCATCAGAAAAGGGGGAGGGGGAAGGGGGTTTTGAACTAAATAGGGAGAGAGTGGGAGGCGGATAGAAGAGGGATAGAGGAGAGGATAGGTGGAGAGGAAACAAACAGGTCGAAGAGGCGGG